GGCCCGTGCATAGCACGGGCAACACTCATCTAGTACTTACATAAAGTCTGAGTCTTGTTAGTTTTTTAAGGGATCTATATATCCTTGGAGAATGTAGAAACTTCTAGTTTAATTTTAGAGAGCTACTAATCGAAAAATTGATATGATACAGATTTTATAAAAGAATCAATTGAATCGAATCATTAACATCCCTAAGTAACAGTACATGCATGGTACATTAATTCAGATACACACAAGCTGCCTCAAACGCCATCGTCTTTTTTCAAAAGAAAGAAAAAAGGCTGTCCTTCAAATCAAAAAGTGGTCAAACTTCAACCTCTTAATTAAGGTTTAGTACAAGGAGAACAAGAACTAACATAAAAATAATTATCAACTCTAGAATAGCCAACACAATTTTCAGATAGACATAAAGAACAAACAAATGAAATTCTTTTTTTTTTAAAATCAAGCAATAAGATCAATTAATTTAATTTACCAGTGATTTTTTTTTTACCTCAAAAGGCAAAAAAATTGTACTTCTTCACTACTTGATGTTGATGTAGTACAAAGTACATATATACATATATGGACAGTTAAAAATTTAGCTACACGTGATATTGGCGCGGCTCAATCAAAAAGTAGACTCAAAATGTTCTCAAGTACTGCTTTCTCATTGAACCGCACCAATATCTCGTGTATTCATCCATTTGAAAACTCGAACATCCATCCCTGATTTTGACTTTGACTTTATTTTTTTTCCCTTTTCCATCATATGTACTAAGCAAAATAAACTATATGTGAAAAGGAAAAATAAAAATCTAAGAAGTTACGAGATTCTTGATGAAGAAATATTTGAAGAATAGAAGACTAGGTATTTTTGAGGTAAAGAATTAATCTTAAAAATAGGAAAAATAACATGTAGAAGATGACAATATCGTTTGGTGCATTTAAGAAGTAGCATTAAATTGGCCAACTACTCAACAAGAAAAGGAGTTGGAAATATTAAAGAAGGTGGAGGAAATATGTAAGAAAGACTCAAAAAATAGGCAAATAAATACTTTCTCCGTCTCAAATTATTTATCGTGATTTTTTCATACACGTCCCTAAAAAAAATTAATTAGGAAGAGTTTTGACTGTGTTATCCTTATTTATATCTTATTATATTATCTCGTTTCATATAATATTTACTTTATTTATATGTTATCTTTCTTTTATTAAGGTATTTATAGTCTTTAAGATCGAATACTACTTAGAGTAAAATGGGGACATAAAATTTATCTTAAACTTTTAAAATAACTATTTTTAAAAAGTACGATAAATAATTTGAGACAGAAGAAAAAAAAAGTATAAGAAGCTTTTAATACTTTTGCATTAAATGGGGCATGGGTAGGGCAGAGGATGTTTGGCTCTGTTTAATCCTTGCATTTAAATTACCTTTTCTTTGAAAGGGCTATTTTTAGAAAAAAATACTCCTTCCGTCTTATTTTATATGTCATTCCTTTCTATAAATAGCTGGATCACAATACTTGTCATTTTATAAAATTTATGCATAAATTACCGTATTTTGCCTATTATACTCTTGATAGAATAGTTAATTAATCTTGTCATTTATTAATAAAATTGAATTAAGAAAACATTAAATAAGGACAGAAGGGTAAAGTTACATCATTTCATAATGCAAGTGCAAAGTAAAAAAATGACATATAAAATGGGACGGAGGAAGTAACTTTTATATAGAGAAATAGTATAATTTCTTTGTATATTATATATCTATTTTAATCTATTGTAACATATAATTGTCTTATTTTTCAGATAAGTAATTACACTTTTTTATGGATGGTCGATAAGAAATTATATAGACAACTAGAATAGAGATTAAGACATAAATATAAACATAATCTTGATTTAGAGTCAATGGAATGCACCATTTCAACTACATTGATTTAATAGCAATAACAATACGTTGTTAAATTTGAAACCAACTTGGAGAACTCGACTGATAGACCGTCAATTTCTCATAGCAAAAAGGGGTCGGTATCTCTTTATAGAGATTGTCAATGTGGGTTCGTTTAGTTTGAATTCAAGTTATGATAGGATTAATTATGATGAGATAAATTATGATGGGATTAGTTATGATGGGATAAATTATGATGACATTATTTTTTATTGAATATTTGATTTGTTGTATTCAAAATAATAAATTTTAAGAACAGTTTATTTGTTTACAAAATGGCCCTTCATGAATGTAAAAAGTGATGTAACAAAAGGGTTGAAAGAGACATTTTTGTCATTTACTTATTTTATCCCGGATAAGTTATCCCGGGATTACTATACCATCCAAGGGGAGGGATAACTTATCTCAGTACTAATTATTAATCTCGAGATAAGTTATTCCGGATTTACCAACCAAACAACAAATTAAGTGGTACTATAATTTAATCCCAGGACTATTTGGTATTATCCTTCACACCAAACGATCCCTAGAGATCAATAGTTATTATGTTTAGCTTATCTACGCACAATAAATATTAATTAGACCTTTTATTTTATTTACCAGTACTTGAAATGCATCACTATCCAACCAGCTAAAAGATATTTAACACTATTAATATATACATAGATTTTAAAATACAAACAGAATATATTTGAAAATTGTATTGAATTAAATTATACAAGTAGTACTTTTGATGAATGTGTACTATATTGTAGTGTGGAATTCTTGTCCTAGCAGGACTAAACAAGAATCCTATCTCTTGCAGAAATATAAGTATGTTTTAAATGTAAAAATATTTAATCAAATACGAGCTATGGCAACGGAAAATAATTAAAATGTACCTTTAGTCATTATTATTTAAGTACGAGTTTAATATCACCTTTGATCTGTCGTTTATTTACTAACAACCTTCTAGACTATGTTATTAGGGTAACGACTCTCAATAAAAACTCTCGTTTGTCTTAGGGATCGAATTCTCCCTTTCATCAAGGAAATTACTATCGAATATATTTGTATAATCATATAATATTATTTGATTTATTCCTCCATTGAGAGAAAAAATAATTATTTAATTAATTACCTAATATGTGAACCACATTAAAAGTCTTTTAAAGAAACTTAAAATTTCTCACATTGAAAACACCTTTGGAGTAGTTTTTGGTTCTTACAAAAATTGAAATTTTACTTTTTTTCATAATAATATTTGATTGAAAAAAATTCTGAGCAATTTTTGGAACATAGGAAACCAAATGACTTCAAGAAGTTATCACTATTTTCTTTCTTTCTTTTGTCACTTAATGGATAGTCTGGTGCGTGAAGCTTCACAAGTTTGTGAAGGATCTTAGAAAGCTAAGTAAAACATGACTAAAATCATCTAGATATTATAGATTATCTAGACGATTGTCCTTGTGGTTCGACCTTTTTTCCTAGTGAATCGGACTAATAGAACCACACTGATACATTTCTCATATACACTTGAAACAGGCTCAAATGTGAATCATTTGGGCTAGATGATTATGGGCCACATTTGGGATTCTTATTCCTCTTCTTCAACTTCAAGCCTCATCCTTAATTTTTGGACCATTTGAAGCACTTCATGACCTTATAAATGTCTACTTGTATAGAATTCCTTGTTGTGAGTTCTTGGAT